TCAAATGAATTAGAAACTCATCCTTGAGTCCCAAGTCCATTGGCTTGAGCTTAGATGTCGTGTTGCTCATCTTCAATATGTGCTCTCTAATCCCTCCACCAGAGTATTTCTCATTAACTAACTTCTTAATAAGAGTGCTTGCATAAGCCTTTGAAGAGCCAGTAAACTAACTCTCTACCTTCTTGAGATACTCAATGGTGGTGATACATTCTAGGATTGATCCCCTTATTAGAACCTCAATGGAGCCCTTAATCACCATCAAACACTTGCGGTTTGAACTATCCCACTTTGCACGATCAAGATCGTACTTCATTCTCACTTCTGCATGGTCACGCTGCCGAGTAGCGAAAGCGCATCAGTCTCATTTGTTTTCCTCGCCGGGTCTACTGGTTCAGTGGGACACGAAGAGATAAGTGCTAGATCATTGTCAGAGAGCGCAAGTGCTATCTGAAGCTTCTCTCACCATATGTTATTGTTGCTCCCATTGAGAGGCGGAATGGATGAGATAAACATCATTGGGTTGTAGCCTGAAAACAACATCAGAGAAAGTGAGAAATATTTAACATAATAATTGCACGCCTTAATTTAACGTTGGTCAAAATTAAAACATACAACATTCTTCTACACTAATTCTACATCATCGTTGGACAGAAATAGAATTAATATATAAAATCCCATGAATAAAAATTATAATATTGCTATTATCAACATTGGTCAGAAAATAACAATATCATAATTTAATTTAAACAAATATGACTACTCCGATTAAATTTTCCCGTTAGTTCTAATTTAATTAGAGGATAAACATAATCATAGCAACCGAAACATGAAAAATAAAATATCCTTCTTGTTTAGAAGCATTTCCTTTAACTCATCTACTCTCTGAAAAAATTCATCACGTTGGTGCAAATTTTAACAGAGATTTAAACTTTAAAATTTAACAAAAATGCATCTAATTTGCTTCTGAAAATTTAAACAAATTAAAAACAACACTGTACTACCGGCCCGAAGGCCCATCGTGCGCTGCGCACTGCCGTGGCCCAGCTATGAATTTGGACCGTAGCCTAGCCATGCACGCCGCACTCCCTGCACCCAGGCCGCAACCTGGGCCTGGGCCGGGATTTTCCAATCCCGCCTGGGCCAAATCCGGACCGAGCTCGGCCGACCATCAGATGCCGATCGACGATCGTCCGCGGAGATTGGCAGAACAAAATGGCACCGCGGCTGGTTCGCCCCAAAACCCTAACTCATTTTGCTCTCTGTCCCTTCTCTCTCAGCAGCAGCGACTCAACAGCGTCGGCCGTGGCCGCGCCCGGAGGAAAAGGAGCGGCGGCGCCGCCGCAGGCTCCCTCGCTGGCGCGCGCGTTCGCCCGAGGGTGAGCGCGACACCATCGAGCGGTCCTGTGATGGTGCCCTAGCCGGTGCTCGCGCGTGCGGCAACGGGCGACGGCGGCTTTCTTCCCACGTGCCGGCAAGGCGGCAGCAGGTGCTTCTTCCCGCGCGACCGAGATGTCGACGGTGGCGAGGAAGACCAGGTAGGTTCCTCCCCCTCTCCATCCTTGCCTTTCTAGGGTTAGGGTTAGGGTTATGGTTTCTACCCGATTCAACTTGATTCTTTCGATTGACCTCCTTCTACTTGCTGAATCTTAAACTACCCTGTACTAGATCTACCATCTAGTAGGCGCTCGGATACCAATGTTATATCTTAGGATCAACTAGGATTAGATTTAGCGAGTGATTCCTTTTCAATTCGGGATAAACAAGTCTAGATCCGACCTAGAACATGAACTAGAGAGAGAGAGAGAGAGAGAGAGAGAGATGGGTGCAGAGGTAGCTGACCATTGGGTGGCTTGGCTGAGGAGCTCGCCATGGCGACGGTGTCGGTGCAACCTGGGTCAGTGACGGCGCGGTGAGTCGAGGACGGTGGCGGCGCTTCCCGTTGCTTCAGCGCTGTCCTCTTAGATCGGATTAGGGTTAGAAATGTAGGTGGAAAAAACGGCGGCTGCGGTGAACCTCGTACCTAGTGCCTTGGCTCCCACCTTCCTCTTTAAAGCGATGCGCGACGGGGGCTCACCAACCATAATTGGGTTGGGCGCCCCCGATCAGGGCACGGATCAAAGGCTTAAATTGGTCTGGTGGAGATCAACGTAACACGTTGAGCTCATCATTTGAGTTCTGCGCAGACTCTCTGTGTGTAGCAGCTGCACATCGGTGCTGAACTTCTTATTGTTTAGGAATGTTGATAATTTTTGTGGTCAAAATGCAGCCATGTTTTCATTTTTACATGCTATGGATTGAACTGCTGTTTTCATTTTTACATGCTATGGATTGAACTGCCCCTGTATGTTGCTGTCTGATAGATTCACACGTACCCACTCTTGCCTGCCATTTATGTTGGTATCGGGTAAGAAAGGAGCAGCTGTGGCTACACAAGTGTCTAGAGGAGCAGTGGTGACATTTCAGCACGTGGTTAGAGCTATCGGCCTGCTGCTTGAATTGGTGAGAAAACATTGAATGATCTCTTTTTGTCTATTTTTAGAATTAGATTTTCTGAAGCAATATGCTAGATATTAATTTGGTATGTCATTCCTATCAGGTTGTTGAAGCATCTCTGTTGAGCAGGAAGGGACCTGCTCTTTGGTAGATTAATTTGCACAACATTAATCTCTTGCCCACGCAAGGTGTGGCCTAACTCTGTCCTGCAAGCGAGAAAAGTGAAAGACCAAGCTTAGACATCCGACGATATTTTGTATGGTTCTGTTCGCTTCGCTTAAAAGCCATGACTGAAAGTACTGTTCGCTAATTTATTGTGAGAGAAAAATATTGTTCCTTCGTTGATATAGTACGGCTCATAAGACAAGTGAACATGACCTCGTTAGTCCGAAGGTGTGCTTATTGACTATTGCATTCAATACTTAGCACTACATGGGTACTGCATCTATATTCAGATATATACATCTTGTTCTTAAACTTTACCAAATTGGGTCTACAGTAGGCTGATCAGTGAGCTTGCAGTATCGACACTAGAGAACCAAGCAACATGTGTGGTCTTTTAAAATATTCAGATATATATGTTTATTGTTCTGGATGGCTTGAGCTATCGAGTTTAACTTATTTCTCAGTTTATATACGTCTTCTATATTCTGAAATGCGTCCTGGGAGAAGATTTTGGTTAGCAGGTCAAAACATATGAAGATCGGTCATGTTCGTTTTGCTGAAAAGCCATGGCTGAAAGTAGTGTTCACTGATTTGTTGTAAGAGAAAAAAACTGTTCGTTCACTGAAATAGTATGTCTCATAAGATAAGCGAACTTGGCCTTAACATGAGATGGTCATTAGAATTCTTTGCCTGGAGTCTACTACTTGTTTTGAAATCAAAATGTATGTCCTGAAGAACCTAAAGCTTGATGAACCCACTGTTGATATGATTTTTATTCTATATATTGTGGTTCGTGGTAAAAGCATAGCTTCTGCACTTTACATTTTGAACAGATCGTACATAATTTGTTTTTTTTTGTGATAGTAGTTACCTATCTTCGGTGCAAAACGCAGATGAAAGAAATGCTCTACCAGATCCACAGATAATTGCGCTCTAAGCTGATTGTTTCAGCAATGCTTTTAAAGACAAACATACCGTGTCACAATTTTGGCCTACTCAGGTGAATTAATATACAACCTATTCGGCTGGTATTATACGATCGTAAACGATCGTAAATTTTAGCCAGAACAGTATTTTTCTCTCACACCAAACCAGCCAGTAGTACTTCTTCACGATCCAGCAATGAACAAGTCCAGCCAAACGAACAGGCCGATACTAGATAGGGACTGTAGTGTACCTATATCTTTTGGAGTGTGACCCTCAATTTATTGTTTCCATGCTGCACCAAGCACCTCTATATGCATCATAAATTCTGATTTTCAACCATTAAAGTGGAGAACGATAGACCACTTATGTTTTAATAAACTTATTGCATTGTCTGGTGGTATTCCAGTGTCACCCAATGTGGAGAATGATGACAACTTATGTTTTAAAAGACTTATTGGTACAAGTCCACTATACATTACCAATACTTATTGCATTGTTTTGTGTTGAAGGTATAAAAAACTTGAGGTGATCAATTTGGAAATTTAATTATTCAATTATGATGTTCTGTTCTGTTTTAGTTTTTTGCTATTACCATGAATCAGATGAGATTTTAATTTGGATGCACAAAAATGTGTCCTACTTCTACTGACTTGTGGGCAAGACGCAGGAATTCCAAAATTTTCTAGATCTTGTCTAAATATTTTTGTATCTTTTACAGCTCATATACGGTGAGCTGACTAATTTGCCTAATTTTCTAGATCTCTTGTTGCTTTGTCTTTGCCTAATTTTCAAATATGTATTAATACCACAACTGTTTCTTAGTGTCTTAGTGCTTGCAATTATAGGCTTTTGTAGAAATTTAGGAGTAGCTTGCCATGGTGAGCTACTGCCTTGATAACTCTACAATGTGTGAAAGAAGGTTATGCTGCTTTGGCCATGGTAAATGATGCGAAGAATTGTTTCTTTACGATATAATAGTATTGTGTGTTTCTGCAACTTATTCCTTAGCCAAAGAGGATAAAAAAATCGGAAGCTGTTAAAACCCACTTCACTCTGCTGCGACGAGAGCATTTGAGGCATTGCTGGCTCCTTCGCAAACTGACGCGTGGCCACTACACGTTTCGCAAAAACACTTTTCATTTCTTTTTAGAAACTAACCCGCCGTCTAGATCCTCGCTCGCCGCTCGGCCGCACTCGGCACCCGCACGACGGCTTGGGTCACGGTCACGCCCGCGCACGGCTTGGGTCACGCCCGAAACCCTAGCCGCCGTCATCTCTTATCTCCCCTCAGCCTCGCAGTGCCGGAGAAGCGCGCCTCGATCTATAGGGGAGGGCGGTGTGCAGCCGTGGCCACGCCGCAGTGGGGCACGACGATGCTCTCATGGTCAGAGCAACAACCCTGACTCCCCGAGGCGATGACGAGAGCTGAAGGTACGAGCAAGCAAATTCTCCTTTCCCTTCTCGTGCCTTATCTCTACCTCCTCTCTGAGATCCATTCGCTGGAGCTGAGCTTGATCTCTCTCCCTCTCAGATCTGACCACGAGCTCCTCAGCGGCATGAGCATACGCTTGGATGGAGCTTCTAGGTGGCGTCTTGGGGACTCGTCGGCGGTGGTGCACAAGGCCTCCATATCGGGTAGCAATACACTTGTTTGCTATGTTGAGGGTGTTGATTTGGTGCTACTTGGGGAACCCCAGGTGGAGGCCTATGTTGTGGTACTAGAAGATTGCACAGCTCCTCAATCATCGGGCGCTGACCACCTCGGCAAAGTGAAGCTGGCTACGACTACAGATCGGTTGTTACTTTCTCCTGTTCGAGTGTTCGTGCTACCATCCTCACAGGCGATGCCATCTCCCCTGTTTTCCACTCCACATAGCAGGTGCAGTGCTCCCTCTGATCATTTTTCTTCTCCACCATCCCCTAGATTTCCTGGTTCCTCCAATGTCAGTTAAGGTATGTAGTGAACAAGAGAAAAGATCCGGGTCAATTTAAATCTAACAGTATTTGATTCATTAGGGCTGGTATGTGATTGTTCACGTAAATACAAGTTTGTTCTAGCTGTAACTTTGTTCGTGTGATTATAAAAATTTGGATCGTTTGTTTCTACAATAGTATTTTTATTACAATATAGTATGGTAGAGGTGCATCTCGTGTTAATTGACTTTCAGAGTTTCCATTTATTTTGATAGGGTTAGTGTTAGCCGTATTAGCTAAGTGTACTGATGATGCTCCTCCTAAACTTAATAGTCATCCACATAGTGGTAAATTTTACCATGGTTTCCAAGGTGCATTAATGGTTGACAATGAGTAGTGTCTTACTGAAACGCAATACTCTGAAAGTATGAACTAATCTAAGCCTTACTCTTAAACTATTTACTTAATGCCTTCTTGCAGGTCTCAGTTATTGTCGTCTTGAGCCTGCAGTTATCTATTGTGAAAGCATTGTTATACTAAGATGTAAATTGACAAGGCACGAACAATTGGCTGCAGAGCTATATGAGTTAGATGGATTTGAGTTTCAGTTTTGACACAATTTTAGGAGTTGTGACCACTTTTGACTGATACATTGTATTTCATGAGGTAATCTTTCATCTAAAAAATGGTTTCATGTATCTTTAACTATTATCAGCATTCATCGTTGTCATACATTGTCCAATATGGGAGGTGAGTGAAGGCTGCTGATGGCAAAAGGGAAACTAATATCTTGTCTTTGCAAAACCTCTAAGATGGATTGCGAGCAGACTGAGAGATTCAGAAATTTAGTAACTCTTGATGGCCATAAGTGCCTTGTTAAAAACAGGCAGGAAGCTTGAAAGAGGAAAGAAGATGGGCATGGTTTTAGATGAATATGATGTTGTCAATGTATGGTTGACAATGGGCCAGGGGATTGATACGTGTGAATTATGATTGAATATGGTATAAACTATCTGCATGTTGCATAGTAGACTATTGAGATGAAAATTCCATCCATGTAGAAAATATGTTACATGGTCTATAAAACCAATAGTTGATAACCAGTTTTCTACTATGTTGATTCTTCTAAACCAATATGCAACACTTTGATTTTAGTAGAAAATTATTACCATAGTTCCGCTAGGCGCTCGCCTAGGCGCGACTAGGCGCGACTAGGCTCTAGTCGGAGGGTGTCCGCCTCGCCTATGGGGGTAGGCGGACCCCTAGGCGGCGGCGGCGGTCGTGGTGGTGGTGGAGCGGTGGGAGAGGGGTGGTGGGAGGAGCTGCATGGTGGTCGCTGGGTGTGGGAGGCAAGCGGCTGTGTGAGGCAGGCAGTGGCGCTTGCGGGCTGGCATGGGTTGGCTGTGGCGTGGCCGGCAAGGATGCCTTGCAGGCGGCGTGTGTGGGGAGGAGCGTGGATAAGGTGCTGTTGGGCCGTTTTTAACGGTGGACAAGGTGGGTTGGGCCGTTTTATGGGCCTTTCTTCTCTTTTCTCCTGTTCCATGACCATTGGTCTTCTATTTTTTCTTTTCTTTTAAGTACTTAAGTATGTATTAATAAATTTAAGCATGTATTGGAAAACGCCTAGGAACGCCTAGGCGCGATTAATCCCGCCTAGGCGCTAGGCTGAGGGTCAGCGCCTAGATTCCGCCTAGCGCCTAGCTGAACTTTGATTATTACACATTAAAAAGGTTGCCTGGACTATTTGCATATCATAAAATGAAAGCTATTTGCACTCGAGTTTCTTCAGTGCAAGCTAAATATTACAGCCGCATAACAGAAGTAGTGCACTTGGGAAGTACATTTAGAGAATGAGAATCTATCTGTTAATTTAGAGTAACCCTTAGAAAACTATATACAGACTTTTAGTTGTCCTAATTCTAGCAGTCCAACATGGCACCCCATAATTTGCCTATGCTTTGCTTTCTGCAATTCTGCATGTGTTTTTTTAACTCCATGTTTTGCTTATGATACTTTCTATAGCCTTTCCAGATATTATAAATATCTATGCTAATCTATTACCTAATTCTATATCAGGGCAAGGAGTATGTTGCAAACTCAGAAGACATCTTGGGTTCTATACACGATGTGATACTATGTGTAGTCCCCTTAACCATAACAGAAATCCTAAACCATCTGATCAACAACCAAAATGAGTACTTCATAGAGGTATGCAAGATTGGTTTGTTTGTGGAACCTGAGCTTTGCAAGGTTGGACTAGCAATGCCTCAGCTAGCAGCCAAACCTCATGGTCTGGATGGCAGAGCATAGCTTTAGGTTATGGTTCGAGGAGGATGTTCATGGACTCTAGTGTAATCTGTTCCGTTGATTCGTTCGCTGTCCCACCGATGTAGTATATTCTTGTGGCCGCTGATGACTGATATCATCCTGCTGCCATCACTCATGCTCTCACCTGCCGTTTGCAGAGCAATTTTGATAGCAAAAGGCAGCGCAAGCGGGTGGATGATGCAGATATTTCCTTCTTCATAGTAATAAGTAGAGATTTGTGCTATGTAGTGTTGGTGTGACATGCTGAGCTTAGGCGCTAACTCTATGATGGCGGTGACAATGACTATATATATATATATATATATATACATCAATGTCTTATTAGTTCTTAACATTATTGTCTAACTATAAAGCATGTCTATTATGCGTGGAAAATAGTTTTTGTTCTTCTTCGGGCGCCTGATGTTCTAGTGTATAACATACCTACATGTTTTCATCTGTCATGTGATTTATTTAGTGAAATTAGCTAACCAATATTCACTTATAATTTTTTTTTTTTTTATGTAGATCATTCAAATACAACTGAATATTCCAATACCTCCATACTGCCATCACAAAATGGATCATCTCATTAGATTTGCACAGTTTGAACCATGTGATGTCACTTTTCAAGTTCAGTGATCCAACTTTCTTCTGGAAATGAAGGGCACATCTTGAGCATCAGATGTAGGCCCGACAGACAATGGTGCTACTACTGCTAGAGAGGCTTAGAGAAGGAGAAGCTGCTGAAATTATTTTAAAAAATCGAACCTCAGTTCCCTGCTCTGTTTTTCTGGTTATTTTTTGTTAGGTCACTGTCGGTGTTTCGAGTTGCCACCGACAAGTAAATTTCTAATATTGCGCGTCTGTCTCGAATGATGTGCTAAGAGGACACGGGGTTTATACTGGTTCAGGTAGAATGTCCCTACGTCCAGTTCGTTGCTGCTGCTCGTGTTACTAGCACTGAAAGTTCATAGTAAGGGTTACAAACGGTTGAGAGGGACATGTTTCAAGTCTCTGGTGAGAGGAGCGAACGGGTGCCGAGAGCTTGTGCTTGTGTGTTCTGATCGGTTCGGGGTTTGATGGGTTCCCATCCCTTTCATGGGACGCCCTGCTTTCCCTTTTATAGGCTAAGGGAAAGCACGGGTTACAGTGGAGGGAAAAGAGGAGAATGAGAAGGAGAAGAAGTCCTCCAGGATCGTCGAGTCCTTTTCCTTCACGCGGGTCTCGCCGACCCTGTAGACGTCAACAAGGACAGCTCCACGTCGCGACCATGTCCATCACTGGCGCCATGCGCAGGCGTCGTCTCCCGATTGTGGCGTTCCACTTTGTCCTGGCGGACGTCATGGTGAACTGATGCGCATGTTAGTGCTTGTACGAGGGTTATGCAGAACAGCACCGGTATGCCCGACGCTGTTCCTGATGTGAATCTCTAGGTATGGCCTGTCACAGCCACGGGTTATATCGGGGCATGTCGGTCACCTCCTTGGTGTCAGAGCTTTGATCCAGGCCCATTCGCTTGGACCTGGAGTGGTTGGCGGCGGTATGGGCCTTCGTCGGGCGAGATGGATCCCCCGTCCTCGGGGTCGGTCGAGGCGGAGTCCCCCCACCCCGGAGGTCGAGCAAGGCGGACCACAAACCCAAAGGTCGGGTGAGGCGGAGCCCGCCTCAGGCTGGGCGAGGCGGAGCCAGCCCTCAGAGGTTAGGCGAGGCGGAGCCCGCGGCGTCGGTGTCGGGCGAGGCGGAGCTCGCCCTCAGAGGTCGGATGAGACGGAGCCAGCCCTAAGAGGTCGGGTGAGGCGGAGCTCGCGGCCTCGGTGTCGGGCGAGGCAGAGCGCAAACCCAAGGGTTGGGCGAGGCGGAGCTAGCCCTCAGAGGTCGCGCGAGGCGGAGCCAGCCCTCAGAGGTCGGGTGAGGCAGAGCCCACGGCCTCGGTGTTGGGCGAGGCAGAGCCCGCGACCTCGGTGTCAGGCGAGGAAGAGCGCAAAACCCAAGAGTGAATCGAGGTGGAGCCCACCCCTAGAGGTCGGGTGAGGCAGAGCTCGCCCTCAGAGGTCGGGCGAGGTGGAGCCCGCGGCCTCGGTGTCGGGCAACAGGCGGAGCCCATCCCCAGAGGTTGGGCGAGGTGTAGCCTACCCTCAGAGGCCGGGCGAGGCAGAGCCAGCCCTCAGAGGTCGGGCGAGGTGGAGCCTCCTTGGTGTTGGGCGAGGCGGAGCCCGCCCCCAGAGGCCGGGCGAGATAGAGCTTGCGCACCTAGGGGTCGGTTGGAGCTGTAGTCATGCTCTTGACTGCTCGGATGAATCAATGTTGATGGTTATTAGTACCCTAGTATTGGTCTTAACCCCCCCTCACGGAGAGTAGAATACTCCTTAGTATTGGTCTTGACCGCCGGATGAATCAATGTTGATGGTTATTAGCTTCTTCTCGAGTATTCTAGTATTGGAGGAGTAGAATATGGAGGAGTAGGAACATGTTTCAAGTCTCTGGTGAGAGGAGCGAACGGGTGCCGAGAGCTCGGTCGCTTCGGCTGTGTGCTTGTGTGTTCTGATCGGTTCGAGGTTTGATGGGTTCCCGTCCCTTTCATGGGACGCTCTGCTTTTCCTTTTATAGGCCAAGGGAAAGCACGGGTTACAGTTGAGGGGAAAAGAGGAGAAGGAGAAGAAGTCCTCCAGGATCGCCGAGTCCTTCTTTTCCTTCACGCGGGTCTCGCCGACCCTGTAGACGTCAACAG